CCCTGCTTGAGCAGGGGAGTTGGACTAGATGATCTCCAGAGGTCCCTTCCAACCTAAACGATTCTGTGATTGTTAGGTTTTCTTTTTAAATGGTGATTAGCAGGAGGAATGGTCACTGCGCCATGTAGTGAACCAGCTGTCTGCTGCCCAGGAGCATATGCTTTGTTGTCTACAAGTTGTAGTTTTGAGATTGTTAAACTCTGTAGTAGCATATCCGTACTTTGCAGATCTGTGGTATGAATTTCCTGCTCCCAGTGAAAGAAAGTGACCCCAAAGCTGGCATTATTATTGATGATATGCTGCCTTGAAAAGTCTGCTTTGTGGTTGGTAAATGGATGAAAATATTGATAAATAGTGTGATACTTTGAAAAGTGTTTTGGAAGGTCTCTGTGAGCTTCAGATTGTAGATAGCCATATAGCAGGAATGGTTTTTTTTTTTTAAGATAAACAAATATTCGTTGTCAAGAATGTTCTTTTGTTCTTCTTCTCATAGTTTTCCTTTGTTTTCTTCACATTTGAGTTGTATTACAAATTTCAAAAGCTGCGTTAAATTTATTTAGAGCATTTCTACTTTGCAGTTATTGTACATGAGCAGAAGAGAATATGATGATTTTCTTTACCTTTTCTAAATTAATTCTGTTGATTGTTGCAACTCATATTTGATGAGCAGAGATGAACGCTCCCCGCTGTCTCCCTTAATACCTTCGTCTGTAGAAAGAGGACAACGCTAGAATTCTACCTTATCAAAAAGTATCTTAAAATTTAACTTTAAAGAGGCAATCTCTCACAGTCTTAACTTCAATCAAAAAATATCGTATATTTACCACTTTTAAAAGTATCATAGTTTGTTTTGGAGAACTTCTGATAAGTAGGATGTCTGAATGTTTGCCTTTGCTTCACATGTAGCGTAGCTTGTGGTAGAATATGGATAAAAATGCGTACAATAGCTTTCCCCTAATCACTTCATATATGGATTCTTACTTAAGAAGAAAAACACCTTAACAACCTTGTTAAAGTTGGTTAAGTTATACAGGGAGTGTTCAGTTAAGGTTTATGCATAACAACATTCTTATTCCAAAATAAGAGTAGAGAAGAATGTCCATATATCAATGTGAATGCTCATAAATTGAGACTATTTGGTAAAATAAAATCAAATTAGATTATACGGAAGATTTGATGTCTAAAGATATTCTTTCACTTTTGTTTTCCAGTATAAGTATAGAGACCTAACTGTACAGGAGACCATCAGTGTTATTACTCAGTACAAGGACCTCAAACCTGTTATGGATTCGTATGGTAAGTCTGTGCGCAAGGAAAAAAAATGTATTGAGTTGCTGACAGTTTAGATGTATTGAATACAGAATTGAGTTTCTCTTGATCTTTGACATCAGTACTTCCTTGGAAACAGACAGAGTAGTATAGAAAGTTTATTTAAGAAAATAAATGTGTCTAATGTACCAAGCAGTTTTACACTTTTCACGGCTCAGCTTTTACCTGGTCACTCTTAGAAGCCATACTGCGTATTGCTAGCTAATCAATTGCTGCCCTAGAAACTGCTGGCATTTTACGAATTCAACTTTGCTATAATATAAAGATATTTTTAGAGTTATATTTACTTAAAAAGTACAATAAATCAATGAATAAATACTTCATTAAAAGTGATTCATTGTGGCAGTGCTTGAGAGCGTGAGGAATACGTGATATAGTCATAGGTATGGAAAATTGGCATGAGGGGTTTTGTAACATGAGTTAGCAAAGATTTAAGCGCTGTTTTTTTAGCTATTTCAAAGGGTCTGAGTAAATTTCAGTGCGTTAAATGAAAAAGATGTCTGGGGTCAGCTTCAGAGATTGAGGGCATGGTTTCACAAGATGCAGCGGGCTGGTATAGCCATTGAGGTCGTGCTCCTAATCAGTTTTTGTTAACTCTGTCAGCTGTTGGATCCCTCTGTGAGCCAATTTATCTTACTAAAACATCAACAAGAAATTTCTGGTATTTTGCTTTCTAAATTACAATCAGGATTGAGAAGTATTAAAAGAGGACTCGGACAGATAGAAGATAACTGAGTTTTAACTTGAAAATATGCAAGTCAGCAGTTGTCAGAGAAATAAAAATTCTTGCAGTGACTGGAGAATCGAAAACAATAGTGGAAGGAGTACGGTCAGAAGAGCGCTCACAAGTTTGCCTTACGATTCAGTGGTCAGAATGCCAGGTAGCACTGAGCTGGAGTGAGAAGCCTGTTTCTCCTAGCTGTTTCTAAGCCGCCTTGGAAAGGCTGAGCACAAAACCACTTACAGATAATTTATACTGCTTGGACTAGTGAACTGAGCAAGGAGAAAGTGATTACGTTGCTGTTGAAATAGTTCTCAAGGCTGTATTCAGTAATGAAATATGTATGCCAGTTAAGTCATGACATATTTTACCTATCTCTGCAGAACATTAGCACCGACGAACTGTACAGGGAGCGTCATTTGAGGTATAATTAGAAGCTTTCAGATGAAATGAAGAAAATAAGAGCTTAGGTTTATTACCAAAAATTGATTTATTAAGCCGAGACTAATCTACCAGATTGAAAGGACGGGAAGACTACATGCAGCGACTCAGTCAGGGTTCCTGTGCGTTTTGTGAACTGAGACTAAATTACGTGGCAGGGAATCAAGTGCTGTGCGTTCTTCCTCTTATCTACACTGTATTACTGCTGGTTAAAACGACTCTTCTAATTATGTGACAGATTAAATGTCTACAGGCCAATAATTTTCGGTGCTCTTGCTGACATGCTTATTTGGAGAAACCATAAAGGATTCTCTATGATCCTAAGAAATAGAATTTTGTAAAAATTAAGTTTGAGTCCAAATTGACCTTGTAGCAATTTGTATGGTTTTCAATTTGTATGGTTCCAGGTTATGTTTTACTTGGGCTCTGAATGAGGAAACAATTTTATTTGCTGCAGGGGTAGACTGACAATATAATGGGTCATTCGTTTTTCAGAAATACTTTATTCGCAAGAAATTACCTGACTGTAGGCAATCACTTACTAGTCTGTGGGTGTATGAGAGCAGAACTTTCTAAGAGGAGTTTATATATTTGTAATTTTTGGAAATTTATGCTAACAAATAGGTGTCTGTAACTGGAACAGAGATTAATATAGCAAAGGTTGAAAACTGTTTGTTCCCTTTCAGTTTTTAATGATGGCTCATCTAGGGAGCTGATGAGCCTCAGTGGAACCATTCCTGTGCCTTATAGAGGTATGCATTTATTATCATTAATATTATTCATTATTGTTGTTATTACTCTTTTCCCAAATTATGTGAAAGGCTACTTAGATTTTGGGTTGTAGTGGTTCACCTTCACAATTTCAGTGATCTCTATTTTCTTGAAATCCCTTACTTGTCCACAGTATTATATTTCAAATAAAATTTTTCCTATTTTTGCTCTAGAAGAAAATTTTAGATGTGCAGCATTGTTGCTTTACTCTCATAGAGCTCTGTAACTCGTGTTTTTTTTTCAGTACTGCACGTTTTTCAAGCTTCTCAATAGAATTAGGGCTGCAAACCACTTGTTGCTGCAGCAATTCAGATATCAGGGTCTAGTAATGTTACGCTGTAGGACGAATAAGGTCATGTAGTAGTCGTTAATGATTGTTATAAATGAAAGTTAAGCTGTTCTGAGAAATGCTGAGTTCCTGACTATACTGGGAATTCTTCATTAAACAGGTCATGGGTGGATTTTAGTTTCATCTGTAATCTGCCTCTGTGCAATTGCGTTTATTGGATTTAGTAGTGTTTTAAAAATCTGATAATAAAACAACAGTTAAAGAGTTGGAATAACTTCTAAAATCTTTCAAAATCTCTTTCCTAGGTAACACATACAATATCCCAATTTGCTTGTGGCTGCTGGACACCTACCCTTTCAATCCCCCCATTTGTTTTGTTAAACCCACTAGCTCTATGACAATAAAAACTGGGAAGCATGTTGATGCAAACGGGAAGATATACCTTCCTTATCTGCATGAGTGGAAACATGTAAGTATAGGGAACCTGAAATCTTCAAATTGTTCTATCCTCAATTTCTTTAGATAGTTGTAGTATTTTTTTTAAACCAAAAAAAGATTCTTTTTATTTGAGAACTTAAAAGTTTTTTTATGAAAACAATTACTGCTTTTGATGTCTTAAAGTTCAGCACGTTGTTTTCTCTGTTGCTTGGTTGATTGTCCTTAGTGGCAGCTTGTCTGATTAAACAGTGTAACATAGGCTTCCTTCCCTTGCAGGAGACTGATGATTGATGTATAGATCTTTTTCCTATTGTGTCATTCTGAACTGGAGCAAAAGCTACGTGTTATATGAATTTGAAATGTCTGAAAACTTAGTTACTGGTACCTTTATTTTCATGATGGAGAACTCATATAAATTTAAAGTAATTATTATAATCCATCATTCCGCCATCATCTTCAGTCATGTTTTGCCCTGCAGTTGATATGGACCCATGTATTACCCCATTTATTCTGAGTGTAAGCACTGCTCTAGCTGTATTTTGCTATGTTGTTTTCAGTACCAGCTAGCCAGGTTGGACT